CTAAACTAAGTGTCTCTCCTGTAGCCCCCACAGCTAGGCGGAGAAGCCCTTATAAAATAACTTCCACCTTCCCTGGTGCGGCGGAGTCGTTGGGTCCTTTGACACCAAAGAGATCTTCTTCTTTGGTGAACCCCTCGAGACAAGCCTTGAATCCGATGATATTCAGGTGCAAGCTTACCGGAGCAACCGTGTGGAACCCCCTCCACACTCCCTTGAGTCGCCTCTCACAGGATCTTCTCCCTCTCTCAAACTCCGCCCTTTCTTCACTCCCATTCAAGCTCTCTCTTTAAGTTTCCCCCAAAAGAACGAAGCTACAATGGCTGCCAAAGACACTTATCAAGTGTCATGTCATAGCTTAAATAAAATATCTCAAAACGAGCTCATTAATGCAAGTTGCCGACTATGTCATCCAGGACGATATAAATACCGTCCTGTACGATCAGTGCAAAATAAGCCCAATCAACCGAGAAAATTTGAGACGATCAGAAGAAATTTATTCATATCGTCAAGGACGATAATATATCGTCCTAGACGATCAAAACAAATCATGGAAAATCGTCCTGAACATCACCCTGAAAAAGAGCTGTCCGATGTCCAATCGTCCAGCGTATCGTCCCGGACGATCCTGCGATCGTTCAGAATGATTTGATCATCCAATCAAGTCATAATTGATTTTCTTAAATGCCAGATTAATTTTAGGCAAAATTATCCTGGATCGTCCTGGACGATATTTTATAGTCCTGGACAATGTCCAAAAATAAATAATTCTAAAATAGATCTCGCGGCAGATTCTTTCTGTTTTGAGCCTATCGTCCTGGTCGATACAAAAATCATCCAAGATGATGTTTTTGCATAATGACGGCTACTTTAATGAGAATGCCCTAATCAGGGTTTCTGCTTTTGAACCGATTGTCTACGACGATATAAATATCGTCCTGGACGATGTTACCAAAAATAGTAAACTTTAGGGAATAGTCAGAGAATCTTCCAAGTTACAAAGCATCAGGAGCCACACCAAATACAATAGGCACCCTCTAAGTATTGCACTAAACTAAGTGTCTCTCCTTTAGCCCCCACAGTTAGGCGAAGAAGCCCTTATAAAATCACTTACACCTTCCCCGGTGCGGCGGAGTCACCGGGTCCTTTGACACCAAAGAGATATTCTTCTTTGGTGAACTTCCCTCAAGAAAAGCCTTGAATCCGATGGTATTTAGGTGAGAGCTTGCCGGAGAAACCGTGTGAAATCCCCTCCACACTCCTTGAGTCCCCCCCTCACAGGATCTTCTCCCTCTCTTAAACTCCACCCTTTCCTCACTCCCTTTCAAAGCTCTCTCTTTAAGTTTCCCCCAAAAGAACGAAGCTATAATGGCTTCCAAAAAAACTTACCAAGTGTCATGTCATAACTTAAATAGAAGATCTCAGAACGAGCTCATTAATGTAAGTTGCCAACTTTATCGTCCTGTACGATCAGTGCAAAATAAGCCCAATCAGCAAGGACGATTTGAGACGATAAAAAAAAAATTGTTCATATCGTCCTGGATGATCAGAATAAATCATGGAAAATCATCCTGAATATCGCCCTGAAAAAGAGCTGTCCGATGTCCAATCGTCTAACGTATCATCCCGGACGATCCTGCGATCATCCAGGATGATTTGATCATCCAATCAAGTTATAATTGCTTTCCTTAAATGCCAGATTAATTTTAGAAAAAATTGTCTTGAATCATCCTGGACGATATTTTATAGTCCTGGATGATCCCCTGGACGATGTCCAAAAATAAGTAATTCCTAAAAAGATCTGACTGCAGATTCTTTCTATTTTGAGCCTATCATCCTGGTCGATAAAAAATCATCCAGGATAATATTTTTCTATAATGACGGCTGCTTTAATGAGGATGCCCTAATCAAGGTTTCTGCTATTGAATCGATCGTCCAGGATGATATAAATATTATCCCGGACGATGTTACCAAAAATAGTAAAATTTAAGGAACATTCAGAGAATCTTCCAAGTTACAAAGCTTTAGGAGCCACACCACATACAATAGACTCAAGAAAGGAACAGGGTTACAAGTTGACTCAGACCTAGTCTACCCAATCTTGAGCTGGTTCTAAATTACAGTCAGATCTTGTGGACCTACAATGTTAGTAAATAAGGTAGTCATAAAGAAATAAGACTATTTGCAATAAGAGTTTTTGCTATCATCAAAATTATAATCCATGAAAATAGATCCGCAATAATCTCCCCCTTTTTTATGAAGGCAAACATTGCAATTATGAATTTGCAAAAATGAAAACATTTTCTCCTAATCTCCTCTTCACTAGAATAAAACTTTAAAAAAAGGGGAGATAAAAAAAAAATTTATTGCTTTTAATTTTTTGAAAGAAAAAGGATATAAATTCAACAGTACGTTCTCCCCCTTTGAAATTATCAAAAAGAGAAGATGCATAAACAATTAAGAAAACAAAATGATTCCTGATCAAGTAAACAAAATAAATATTCTTAAAATGAGAAAGTTACCTCTTGGTTTTAATAAAAAATTTAGTCAAATTGTATTGACAATGCATAGCCCAGAAATGTTAGAAATTTAGAATTTAATAATCCAAACTCAAGTTCTTTTAAAAAGGTTGAAAAACTTTTTAATTCAATATCTAAATCAAGAGATAAATTAGATAAAGAAATGGTCTTTTTTCAAAATTATTTCCATAAAATATATCTAATAGAAGATCAATGCACGAATTATTGAATTATAAATCAAGATTTTCAAACTAAAGTATCGAAAGTATCAAGAGTTTTCTTAAGCTTTAAAAAGTACAATAATGGTAAGCATTAAATATGGGCTCATTTTATGCCTCTTGACAATTGGTTGGCACAATGCGTATCTTTTGATTTTTGATACACTTTGTGTATTCCTTTTTCTTCAATTTGGCGTCTTTGTGCATCTTTTATTTTTGGCATCATTGGCCAATTTTTTTTTTTTAATATGCTATCTTTTTAAAATTTTAAAAACAAGCTAGTTTTAATTTTTTTTTCAATTTTTTTTAATGTTTCAGATCAAAAAATAATTTGCTAGAAATAGTTTTCCAGCGGATTTTCCATAATGCAGTGTTAGTTTGTAGTTCAAGAAAGTTAATGCTAATAATGTAGATTTATCTAAAAAAACACTAAATCCCAAATAAGTGGTAATATCAATTAATTTTGTCCACATTTTTTAATTTGATAAATATTATTAGAAGCTTATGCAAGAGAAGAGAAATACTACGAAAAAAAAGTAAAATCATTGAACAACTAAAAAATAGCGAAGCATTAAAAGGTAGAGACTCAAATCAGAAAGTAGCTCTTCAATGTGTTATAGAAAAATGTTTGGGTTTGCATTATGGATTGCTAATCAATTTAATACTTTTGTTTAGTTCTATCATTGAACTTCTTGAGATAACAATCCAAGATGGTTCAAGTAGTGAGACAAAAGGTGAAGCATATGCCTTCTTGATTATGTACAATTCTGAATTTGTTTTCGATTTGCATATGAGGAAGTCTATATTGAGAGTCACAACAGAGCTATATCACATGTGTTATAAAAAAGAGGATCAAGAGATTATAAATGACATAAATTTGGTAAAAATGTCAAAGTAAAGATTCCAAATTATGAGAAATGATGGTTGAGATATTTTGCTCAAAGATTTTTGTTATTTTGTGAGGCAAATAATATAGTTATTCTAAATATGGATGATATTTTGTAAAGCGAGGAAGATCAAGGCGGGAAGCTAAAGCAATCACTAATAGACATCATTAATAAGTTGAATTGTTTTGCACTGCAATAGATATGCAATTCTAAGAACTCAACAACATATTTAATGAAATAAATATAGAGCTACTTATGTGTGTAGCATGTTTGAATCTATGTGACTCACTTTTAGCTTTTAATAAGAGATGGTTGAAAAGCCTGGTCAAGTTTTATCTGTTAGATTTTTTAAATATAGCTCTCATCATATTAAATAACGAACTTGATAATTTTATTATTGATATGAGATCTAGTGTCGCATTTATGAATTTAAAAAGACTTGGAAACTCGTTCAAAAACTGGTAGGGACTAAAAAGAATGAAATTTATTCTTTGGTATTCCTATTTATAAAACTTGCTCTAATTTGGCAATTGCTACAACGACAGTCGAACGGGCATTCTCAACTATAAAGATTATAAAGAATCGTTTATATAATCGTATGAGAGACTCTTGGATGGATGACTATCTGATTACATATATTGAAAAAAAAATCTTTAATATTATTGATAATAAAAGGATTATTTAATGATTTCAAAATATGAAGACTCGAAGAGATAGATTGTAGTTAACATGCATTAAAAAATGAAAATAAAATATTCTCCGTTGTAAGTTTTTTTTAACCTATATTAATTTATCATTTTAATAATGTTGTGTTTGAAAAAAATTTTAAACCGTCAATATCAGTCCCAAGCCTGCATGAAAATGATTAAAGAATTTTTTTTTAATCAATGATTTGAATTCATCATAGAAAAATCCTGGCACGACCTCTGATAAGGAGTCATCATTCAAAATATATTAGTATAATAAGATTAAAAAAAATTAAAATATTTTTTAATTTAAGATATATTCATAATAAAATATGATTTATTTTGTTCTACCATAAAGCAACGCAAACTTATAGTTTGCCTTAAGATAAATGAATTATATTATCTTTTCTTAACAAAATAGTTTATTGTTTTGAGGAAATGCCTTTCCGTCCTATGCAAAATGGTTTTTTACATTGTGCTTCTAGATAGAATATTTTTGCCTTCACGTCATACTCCTAGCATATAATTGTCATTTTAACAATGTCGTCGGGCAGCATTGCAAAGTAACAAACGATTTTTCGTAAAGAGAAGATCCAACGAGAGCCACACAACCATTGGGGTGACCCCATGGACATAGCTATGCATGATTCGTAGCCACACGATGGATTATCCAGTCCACGTGCCAGGGCATCTGCAAGCCACAAGCCTGCACTCCTATCTTCCTCAGATAAGCCCCCTCCCTTGACTTATACTCACCACCATCCCCTCTTTTGCTTCCAAGCTCAGTTGAATATGGCCTCCGTGTGTGCTCCCTCCTCCGCTGTCGCCGCTGTAGCCATCTCTTCAGCAAAGTAAGTTCATAAAAGCTTCCTTTTTTATAAGCAAAATAAAGCTTAAAATAGGAATGAGTTGCTTTGGTTTGATGGTTTTCTAGTGCTCAGAAGAGTGGGAACGGGCTCAGTGCAACAAAAGCATCTTTCCTGGTTGGAAGGAGACTGAGGCAAAGTAAGGCGGTGGCCGCCGCCCCACGGCCATCTTTCTCAGTGTCAGCCGAGGCAATTGAGAGGCCGCTTTGGTTCCCAGGAAGCACTCCACCTCCTTGGCTTGATGGAAGGTAAATCTTAAAATTTATCCTCTTGATTAAGTAACGAAAAAACATAAAATTCTAACTCTACCTCCTGATTGTATTATCAAAACTAAAATTCTAAATATATCTTACTGTTATATGATTTTGTTATCCAGGTTAAATTAATAAAAATTGTCTAGAATTTGATTCAAACATATCGATAATTATGTCCTGATTCAATTAAAAAAAATATATCACTTCTATTCATTTGTAAAACAAAATGTTCATTTATTTTTTTTGTACCTGTATTTATGCATCCACAAACTGCAGAATCTGCAATTCTATACTTCAAAAATTTTCACCTGCAATGTCTAACTTTTGTAAAGAATGTTAATAAATAAAACTAGAAAAGGGTTCACAATATTACAGTGAGAAAAATTTATGTGATATGAAGCCAATGATTTCACGATTGCTTAATTTGAACGTTATAGAAAGATATGTTTAAGATGTTGGTAACTAGGGGAAACATTATTTCTAGTTCTTAGCTTTAGCTCGAGCGTTCATGCCCAATGTTATTCTCATGTTGAACAAAAACCTTCCTTATCAATAGCTAGATTAGCTATTGGGAATTTTAGTTATTTTGCCGTAATTACTGTTCATGTAACCTAATAAATCTAGATAATATAACATACTTGATTTAGATTTAAATAATAATAATAATAATAAATACTTGATTTAGATTTTAAAAAAAGCAAAACATTAATTTTATGGAATTGCATTTGAATATTTAAATTTCTTACTCAAGGATTAATAATTTTATTCTGTTTTCCAACCAAACAGCCTATGATCAGAACTGTTATCAATCGATCTCTCTGCTTTTTATTTCTTTTAATATTTGACAATTCGTTGAAATCATCAAATTCCATGGATGCAGCCTTCCAGGTGACTTTGGGTTCGATCCACTTGGCCTCGGTAAGTACCTGAATCCATCAATTTATTCATCCCATATTAAGTTATATCCTTGAAATTTCAAGTTGAGATGACTATCACTTCTAAAAACTTGAGCATTTCATTTATTGAGCCTAATATTGATCTTATTATTTTCAGCATTTTAAAAAGGTAGTATTATAGTCAATGATTTAACTATAGATCAAATGACTCGTGGGTATTTTAGTACTTTTGATAAAGAAAGGATGACTTTCACAATTATTTGATATTATTATTGAGTGTTCATTTGATTGTGATATTAAAAACGTCTAAATTGTTAAAGCTTATGAGGATATGGCATTCTGTAAAAAAAATAAAAAATTATTGATGGGCGGCCTATTCCATGCATTTAAATTTTTGTTTAGAAAAGCCTAATTCATCGGACCCAACCTTCGTTCTTTGATTTCATTCTCCCAAACAAACATTGAATTGTTTAAGCTGTCTTGATGCAGGGTCGGACCCGGAGAGCTTAAGATGGAATGTGCAGTCAGAGCTGGTGCACTGTCGATGGGCGATGCTAGGCGCCGCTGGCATCTTCATTCCCGAGTTTCTTACTAAGTTAGGCATCCTTAACACACCATCTTGGTACTCGGCCGGCGAGCTGGACTACTTCACCGACACCACTACCCTCTTCATCATCGAACTTATTCTTATTGGCTGGGCCGAAGGCCGTCGTTGGGCTGACATCATTAAGCCCGGCTGCGTCAACACGGACCCCATTTTCCCCAACAACAAGCTCACCGGCACTGATGTGGGTTATCCGGGCGGGCTCTGGTTTGACCCACTGGGCTGGGGCAGCGGTTCGCCTGAGAAAGTCAAAGAACTGAGGACCAAAGAGATAAAAAACGGACGTCTCGCTATGCTTGCTGTTATTGGCGCGTGGTTCCAACACATCTACACCGGCACCGGTCCAATTGACAATCTCTTCGCTCACCTCGCCGACCCAGGCCACGCAACCATCTTCGCTGTAAGTATTTACTAATGCCAATTACTTTAGAAGATTAATTATCTTTTCCTTTTTAGTTTATGTTAATTAATATTTGCGGTGGATATGAATTAGGCTTTCACTCCAAAATGAGGAGGATATGGAAAGGAAGGTTGGCTTTGGGGCTCATACGAACTCATGCTTGAAAGATGTTTTATTGCTGGGATTTTAGCTTTTTGAGTCTGTTTACCGCACTGCTAGTAGTTTTTAATTTGAAAGATGATTTGTTGCTGGGATTTTAGCTTTTTTGAGTCTGTTTACTGGACTGCTAGTAGTTTTTAATTTGTCAAGTAGTTTTAAAGTAACTTGAGGGATAATTTACTGTGTACAAATTATTTCTATGTGCTGTGAAACATTCAGTGTTTGGGTACTTGATATAAAGCCGTAAGAAAATTACCTCAATATTTGGGTGCCAGCTATTGCTTTTACGTATTTTTTTTGAAATAAGATTGCACTAAAGAAAAATTTCGGGTTACTGGCAGAATTTCATCTGTCAGTATAAGCGAGAGAGATATATATATATATATTAGTATAAGCGCTATATTCCACCAGTATTTATGACCAAAAAAATGAGGCATCATATTGCTATATTAAGTCGGAATTCTACTGGTAAGCCCGCTGCAGGAGAAAAGGTTTCCTGCGTGGTTTTTATCTTCGAGGGAAGTTTCGCTGGAAATATATCGGAAAAGCCAATTTTTCGGAGGAATTTGACTATTTTCGACAGATTTGGGCCATCGGTAAGTGTGATTTTCCTCTAGTGATTTTTGAAAAATAATACAATGTCACATTAAAGAATATTTTAAGATATAGATGTTTGCATTAAAAAACAATTTAAACATGGATGAAGTTATTTTTTAAGTGTTAATTTGAATATCGTTTAGCTCTAATTTGTGCATGATAACCACCATATAATTATTTATTTTTCTAATTTTAAGAATGTTGCTTCTTCCTGAGTTTTTTAAAGGGAATGATTTATGACTCGAGAAAGACAATTTTCTCATTTAACAAGTAGGTCATAGGTCTTATTTTGCACTCTTCTTGATTTTAGTCCTTGGCTTATAATGCATAACTAATTAAAAAAAAAACAAATTTAAGTTTGTTATATGAGAATTAAATATTTTCAATAAATGAACAATAAATAATAAGCGTTGTTCTCTTTTATGTCCGACAGTGTTGGAACTTCATGCAAGCCTAATATTCAATTACAAATTTCTGGCACAAAATAATTTAACGTTATTAATGGGAATTATTTTAAGCATACTGTATGTACTCTCTCAATATTTGATAATCAATCCTTCAATCAATGACAGCATAATCTAGTTGATGAAGGCTGTTTAGGCCTCATTTTAGGGGATCGTATGCATTAGGTGGAAGAACATGAAATTTAAATTCTTCTACTATTAGAGGTTGTTGGAGAACAAAGAGCACTATCATAACCAACCATATACACCTCCTCGTCAATAGCTTTGTCAAGTTCTCTTGAATATATTTGTAATCCAACCCATCATTCCCGTATTGCTCAACCAATCCATAGTATTTCAAGAGTATGCAAAATTAGTTGGTATAATTCGCCCACATTCTATTGGAAGACTGCTATTTTGTTTGCTTTATAAATGTTGCAGAGTTTCGTGCTTTAGCTTATTACATTAATGATATTTTTTTTTAAAGATGGTTTAATTTTGCTATTGTTTAAGGCTTGTTTAACGCTAGTGCATGTGTCGTGTCAAGTAATATAAAAAAAAGAAGAGTGTCAATCCAACCCAGAACAAATGAGAAATTCTATAAGGCATTAACGTCACTGAAATTTTCTAATATGGTAAAACTAATAATTATATGGTTATTATAGAGTATTGTAGCAGTAGAATGCTTGTGTCATGGATAATGAGATTGCTTTTTGCCATGATGATCTAAAAGAAAAAAAAATTACATTGTTCGATTCGAAAGGTTCAAACTTAACAGAAGTCTATACAATTTGAAGCAAGCCCTTTGTAAAATTCACTATTCCAGGACCCAATTAATCAAAAACTCTGATATAAACTGTCGGAGAGATAGGATCACCTTATTTTATCACATGATAAGACTTAAAGAAAACCATGGCTTTTACCATTGACAATTATGAAAAAATAGGATCCGTTAATTCAATTTTTAATAAAGTTAATAAAAACTAAATCTGAACCAAACAACTACAAAATACTATAGAGGAAGTTCCAGTTTACGTTATCAGAGGCTTTGGTAATATCTAAATTCAATATCATGTTACCATCTCTCACCTTAATATCAAGATTATGAATAATATCTTGAGTAAGTAAGAAGTTGTCAGAAATAGCCTTACCCTTAACAAAACTAGTTTGATTAGGGGAAATAATTTTGGACATAAAGGAGTTAGCACTACAGGAAAAACGTCAAATTCCGGCGGTTACTATAGATTAACCGGCGGTTTTATGGATTATCGGCGGCTTTGCGGTGGTATTTTAGCTTACTAAAAACTTTGGAAATCAACTTACTAAAAAAAAGCACAGACTAACACGCCTAAAGTCATCCCAATTGTTAATGACATACTTCTTAGGAATAAGCATAATGGAAGTAGAAAAAAAATAAATTTAGGAATGGAATTCCGAACAAAGAAATTAAAACAACCCCATATAAATTAGAGCTCAAAATGTCCAAATCCTTTTGAAAAAATTTGGTCATAAAACCATGTGATCCAATAATAGAATCCGAATTCATGGAAAGCACAATCTCTTTAACTTCCTCCAATGGAGGAGGTTGGGAGAGAGACAAATTATCGTTATAACTAATGCTTTTAGGATTTAGATAAGGATTCTCAATAGGAATATGATAAAAAAAAAAATTTAAAAATTGTTTTAAAATTTTCCACCACAGAGTAAGCGAAAGCCCAACATCCTCAATTTCGAAACCATCATGAAGAGAAATCTTATGAAATAAGTTTTTATTTTTTTCTTTTTATATGGGCATGAAAGTATTTGGTATTCTTATCTCCTTCAATAAGGTGCTTGGAAGCAGCATTTTGTTTCAAAAAACTTTCTCATGTGCTTAAAAGTTAAAAAGTAGTTTCTTGGCATCTTGAAGTTTTCTAAAGTTATCATTGGAAGGTTGAAGTTCATAATTATGCTCACAAGAATTAACATTATACTCAACAGCTAAAAGATTTGAAAAAATATTTTTAAACACATGCTTATTCCATCAATTAATTTTATACTTTAATTTTTTTAAGTTTAAACCATAGTCTATTTATAGCCAACATAGAATCATCATGATGAAGAGGAGCTTGCCAATTATCTTTCATCATATTAACAAATGAATTGTTAAATAACCACATATTTTGAAATATAAAATTGGGTCTAGGACCATCCTACCTCATTTAGATACCAATAAGAAGAGGAGAGTGGTTAGAAAGGTTAAACTGAGATGCACAACAAAAGTATTATTATACAAATTAATCCAAGCATCATTAAAGTGAACACGATTAAACATTACCACAAGTTAGCAATGTTAAGAGAGTTGCTACTTAGCTTTTGCATGTTTTATATTCTTGCAACTTGTTATTTTGATGATTCCAAATATTATGTATTGATTATTAATTTCTCCTAACACATTTTGGAAGAAGTGTTTTTGGCTCTTGTGTGTACTAACATTTTAGGAAAATCAAACTCTAAATTGTTGAAGACTTCAAATAAAAATCTGATTATAATATTTTGTAATTTGGAGTCTGTATTTTATTCATTTTTTAGTCAAAGAGAGTGTGATTGTAATTGAGTAACTTAGCACACACACACACTGGGGGAGATCTTTAAAAGTCAAAATTTCTTACGCTGATTATACAGGATGAACCATGTTCATACGGGACGATCAGGTCAATTATACTCCTCGGAGAGCAATGGAATAAACAGAAAGTGAGAAAAGTTTTCTAAGTCTTGATCGTCCAGACGATTTTACCCAGTTCATCCCTGGATGATGTCCTCTGATTTCTCATTTTGAACTGTTTGTCTAGACAAATTATCCCATTCGTCCCTGGACGATGTCCTCTGATTTCTCACTTTGAACTGTTCATCCAGACAAATTGTCCCATTCATCCCTGGATGATTTCCTCTGAATTCTCAACTGGAACTGTTCATCTAGACGATTTTACCCTGTTCATTCCAGGACGATGTTCTCTAGACTCATGCTTTGTATTATTCATCCAGATGAACTTGTACATTTATCCCCGGACAATGTCCTGTATTCCTTAAACATATGAACCATCCTGCAGTTTTGTTTCAATGAAGCTTGGAAATAACCGTTCGTACCAGACGAACTATGTTCTTACAAGACAATGATCGGATATGAAGTCATTTCGTACCAATGCACATTGAGTTTATACGCAACAGTTTTTACACTGTTCATACGTACGAATTTTGATCGTACGGGATGTTCGAGTACGTACATATTTGAAAAGTTGTAGTTTTGAATGGTTTTCTTGTGTCTTTCATATAAAAGGTCCACTTAAAATTGTCTTGTAATCTTTTTGTCCATTGGTCTTCGTGCAAACTGAAGGGAGATTGAAGGAGAGAGTGAAAGAGAGTGTTTGAAGGAGAGTTCTTACTACTGGAGCATAAAGGGTTCACTTAGTATTCAAAGGTAAGAATCTCCATTTATGAATTATGGTTACTTCACTCTTTTCTCTTGTCCTTTTAGATTTCTCGTGAGAAGATATTTCAAGGAGATCCGGTTCTCTGCCATCAGTCGAGGAGTGTGAACAGCAGAAGGTTCTCTACCTACACTTGGAGAAGTGTGAAAGGATAAAGGATTCTTTGCCTACACTTGAAGAGTGTGAATAGCGGGAATGTTCTTTGCCTACACTTGGAGAAGTGTGCAAGGACGAAGGGTTCTCTGCCTACACTTGGAGAGTGTGACAGCGGGAGGGTTCTCTGCTTACACTTGGAGAAGTATGAAAGGATGAAGGATTCTTTGCCTACACTTGGAGAGTGTGAACAGAAGGAAGATTCTTTGCCTACACTTGGAGGGTATAAAAGGACGACGGTTCTCTACCACATCGGGTAGTGGTGGAAGACAGTTTTTGTGAAGGCTTCTCCGCCTTGTTGTGGGGGCAAAAGGAGATAAACTAAGTGGTAATATGCAATACCTAAGTGGGAGACTTCAGGGAGTGGATGTAGGTAGTGTTTGACCAAACCACTATAAATCTTATGTCTTTTTATTTTTCGCTAATTTTTTTTTTACTTTATTGTTTTTTTATTGATCAGTGGTTGAAAAATCTTTTTTAGAAATTTCACTATAAAACTTTTTATCGGTATAAAAATTTAAGAGAAAAAAATTTAAAATTACCAATTCACCCCCCTCTTGGTTAGCCGCTAGGACATAAGCTTAGGTCTAACAACCTAATT